TAAAAAAAAAAAAAAAAAAAAAAAAGTCTCTCTTTTGAATTCTTACTGAAATAAAGTTTGGTTGGTGTGTCTTAATCTTTACTTCTGTTAGCTTTCTTGTCCCCCTCCTTCCCAACCTCCACTCCACAATTTATTTGTTACAGACAGGCCCTTTTGCTGTAACTTACCTAGAATCTACATTTTGCAGATTGATTCTGTAGTGACTTTAAATATTATTCTATATTCTGTTTTTGTTTTTGTTTTTTTGTTTTTTTTTTTTTTTTTTTTTTTTTTTTTTTTGGTACCGGGGATCAAACTCTGGTTCTTGCACTTGTGAGGCAGGTGGTGGAACCACTGAGCCAAATCACCGTCCCTATTCTGTATTTCTTATAAACGACAGTTCAATCCAGAGCTTTGATTAAATCAATAGGAACCTTTCTTTTGAGTCATTTGTTTTCTTTACAATCATCATTTGAGCCCCCATTAAGTCATCATTTAAGGGTTGCACAGTAATAACGCTTTTTTTTTTTTTGAGACAGGGTCTCACTGTGTAATTCAGCCTGGCCTCAAACTCACTATGTAGCCCAGGCTGGTCTCAGGCTCATGGCAATCTTCCTGCCTCAGTCTCACGAAGTGCTGGGATTACAGGTGTGCGCCACCATGGCCAGCTCAACACTCATTTTTATTTATGAACCAAAATAACTCCTATAAGGAAAAATTTTTAAAAAGAGAGAAATTCTTCATCATTTATTTGGTTACTTGAAAGTATAGTTCACATAGTAAAGATGTAATTCTTTATTTATCAGCTTTCAAAATGTTAGTTTCCTTGCATTCTCTGAAGTTCACAGGTGAGTGTGTTGGTTTTTGTTTTGTTTTGCTTTGTCTTGTTTTTTAAGTATCATTATAAACTGGGCTAGTAGCACACGCCTATAATCCCAGCACTCAGGAGCCTGAGGCAGGAGAGCATCATGAGTTTCACACCAGCCTAGGCTACATAGCAAGATCCCGTCTCAAAAACAAAGTTATATTTTTAAGAAAAACTGCAGCTTCAGGACCAAAAGTTACCCAAGCTGTTTTCCTTTCAAGGGCACTCATCCTAAAGGTCTTAAAGACGCAGCAAGCCTATAAACCAGACTGTCCTTTTCACCAGTAAATTGTGCCTCCTCCATCCTCAGGAAACAGCAGTGGTAGAGGTGTGCCCAGCTTCAAACACGTGAAAGTGGCTCGCCGTGGCGAATGCACACCCTCCCTGTATCACCATCATGAAAACACCCACAAGGCTGCATAAATGTCCTCCAGCTCCAGCTTATAATGCCTCTCATTTCTCGGAGTGCTAGTGCTCCACTCTTCACTGTGTAGTAAAATCTACGCCTAATTAGCCTCTTATTGACACACTCTGAAAATTCTTTAAATTATTTTTCTGTGAGGGGAGACCGCAAAACTCCAAACATTCTGTGTTAAGGGTGGGTCAAATTCTTCATCTTGGCTTTGGGAACCTCCTCAGACCCAGGCTAGTAATAAACCCATTGTAGTTACTATTTCATTGGCTGCCACATAGCCCATCCTTGGTCAGAAAACTCATTAAATTTTTGTTATTATTATTATACTATTATTATCATTTGGTACTGGGGATTGAACTCAGGACCTTGTGCTTGCCAGGCAGGCTGAACTACATCCCAGCCCTCTTGAAGATATTTTAAAGGGATTCTTTCTAGGTTCTTGGTACCCTGAACAAGAAACTGGGTAAGACATGCAAAAAGGGCAGATAAAATTTACATATATTAAAAAGTAGGATCACCACAAATACAAGGCCAGCTTGGGTTCAAAGATAGCCTAAACCACATAGAGAGACCCTGTCTCAAAAAAAACAAAACAAAACAAAAACAAAAAAAACAGCAACACAAAACAAAAAGTGGCAAAAGAAGTACACTTTGCAGAGTGAGAGTGGGCCACCGGGAGAAGCTCACTTGAAGATAGCACTTTCTGATTGGTCCCAGATGCAGGGCTTGGGAACTGTGTTCTGAGCCTCCTTGTTGACGGTCTCTGTTGCTGCCAGTTTGCCTCACCCCAATCTCCTGCCTCAAGGCTGTCTTTGAACTTGCTATGCAGCCCATGGTCTCAAACTCATGATCCTCCTGCCTCAGCCTCCCAAGGGCTGGGATATGCGCCACTATACCTGGCTTCCATTTTGGATATTTTCCATTCAAATTCAGGACCATGTCAAATCTTATTTCCACATACTGTCTTCCATGCTATTTACTCCAGAATAATTACTCATTAGCTTTACCTCACAGCTCCAAAATAATGATACAAGCACTAATGCCAATAATAAGAGTACTGAAAGTTTAACACATTCCTGTTGGCTTGAACCACCTGTGGTACATGCATGACTATGCCATCAAGTGGCTTGTACCACTGTCATACAAGGGATAAAATCACTTTTATTGGTCTTTTAACTAATAAAATTAATAAGGTCTATAAATGGACTGAATCTAGTTA